AAACATGCAGGTTTATTTTTTATGCAGTAGGGCTCTTGTTGTAATATAAAGTCAAATTTATTTATTACAGATGTTAAGAGTGAGGTAGCCGCAATCCTTCTACCTGTATTATATTGCAGGAAACGTATGTTATTAATATGTCGTTCCATAGTCTGTTTGCTGAATTAAATTATTTTTTATTCTAGTATATAATTTGCAAGAGCTATCTCTGGCGTTATGTCCGCTAACAGAAGAACCTTCATGTTTACAGTTACAGCAGATGGCAGGTTTATCTTTGTTAGTACAATCTCTAAAAGAATGATTACCTGAGCAGTGGCTGCATGTGGGGTCTTCTTGACTGCATGAGGATGATAAGTGTCCGAACCGACAGCAGTGGAGACATTGAAGTACTGGAAAGAAGTCGGAAATGCGACATTTAGACCATTGAACCGAGGTTTTATCAAATTTCAAAAGTTGTATTCTTATCTGAGGGGAGACTTGTATCACCCAGTTGTTATAATTTTTGCCTTTCTTACCAAGGCGAAACTTTATTTTAAAATTGTCCATAAATTCATCTTCACTAAAATATTCTCCAAATAGTTCATTTTGATGATAAATGCAGAGTGGTATCTCCTCTCTCGTAAGTTCTGAGGGCACAGAATATATAGCCAAGTGTGGAAGTTTTTTCTTCGGTTTTCTTATTATAATTTGTGGCATTTCCTTTTTAATAAAGTGTTCAAGTTTGTTTGCATCCTCGCTATTCCCAATTTCCAGGGCTACTCCCCCTCTGATGTTCTTTAATCTGTCTATTCCTATGCCTAGTGCTGAAGGTTTAATATGATCGTATAAGAGTTGCCGTATTTGATAAGATGAAATACCTTCTTCAGTACTATACAACAAAAGTACCTCTAGGTTTGGGTTCTGTAGTTTTGATTTGCTACCTACTATAGGTGCGCCTGCTTTTAAAACTTGACTGTATGTTTTAAAAGGCTTAGAATCAATATTGCATAAAGATTCTATTTTTCCTATTTTATCATATAAACGGTTTTGATTTTGTAATATTTCATTAAGGGTGCTTTCTGCTAAGTTTATTTGTTGTTGTGATGTATAATTCTTCATTATTTTGTTATTATCTTCATTTATTTTTTCAATTGTGTTAGATATATCTATTCCAACTTTCTCAATAGTTTTATCTTCTATCTCCTTTAATTTTTTAATTATGTCAAATTGTGTGTCTGGATTGATGTTATCTTGTATCATATTTAATTTCTCTAACACAATTTTATTAGAAGTGTTTTTGGTCCCCTCATCGATATTTTGAATAATGTTATTTTCCATGTTTCCTAGTTTTTCTAACAATGTTTGTTGTAAATTATTCATTTTTAAGCTTTCCTTTATGCTATATAAATCTGTTTTGGTAGCCAAGGTGGACATTTTTTCACAGATAACATCTGTTAGCTGAAGATCATCGAAAATACTTTCCACAAGATTAGCCACCTTGTTGAATTGATCTAAAATAAATTGCATGTGCATCGGCACATTAAATTTCCCATTGGGATGATCAATAGCATAATCCTTAATCTCATCTAAAATAGTGTTATATGAAGTTTTAAACCTCTCTCTAAATGTAGAGTCCATTATCATGCATAAATACCTTCAGTAATATATTATTATAATAATAACGAAAATACAGTATAGTCAAAATTCATAAATATTTTTAATATAATTATCTAGTATAAATATTATCATTACCAAAAGATTCCTTATTCAACCCTGATTCGAAAAAATATATGGTTATCCCGATGTTAAATCCCAAATAATACCAAAATCAGCCGATTTTCCCGTTACTGTGGAAAAAAATCCTTGACCTCAGTCGTAGAAACGAAAATCGGCCGAATGTTGATTTTAGAACTTAAAAGTAGATTATCCATAATTTAAAAGCTATCAATGATACAAATATCAANCTAGTATAAATATTATCATTACCAAAAGATTCCTTATTCAACCCTGATTCGAAAAAATATATGGTTATCCCGATGTTAAATCCCAAATAATACCAAAATCAGCCGAATTTCCCGTTACTATGGAAAAAAATCATTGACCTCAGTCGTAGAAACGAAAATCGGCCGAATGTTGATTTTAGAACTTAAAAGTAGATTATCCATAATTTAAAAGCTATCAATGATACAAATATCAAAATTTCACAGAATGTTGCTGAAGATGCCCTTAAAGAACTACCCAAAAGACATGGGCTAGAAATTAGCCAAATTCGAAATAACCCCGTTCGACTTCCGACCGGAAGTAAGCCTTTATTAGGGTTAATATAGGTCGTAGGACCCACAAAATTTGTTAACGATGTTATATTAAAGACTCGACTACGTCGCCGTCGATAAATCCGGTAAATCGGTACTTGAAGTACAATTTATCCGGAAAACGTTCTAAAATGTTCCTATTTCAAAAGTTTTAAAATTTTAATGACCCTACTTGACAAATTATTGTTCTTCACGTCTTCCGGAACAATATTTCATATAACACCACATATTAAATACACAATTTCTGCACAAAATCAAACAAAATCAGAGAGCATTACTGAATAGCAACTTCACCTATCATATTCCTATCTCCGTTCCCTGAAAAAAATATAGAGGAAAAGGTGGTATTATGGAACCACCCCATTTAGAACTGATAATAAAGGCGAACCGTAGCGGATTGTGGCTGAACTGAACTAGGCAGACATCCGTAGCGAGGGGAAAACCCGTTTCGCTTCGGTTAAACGGTTGTCCGTAGCGAATCAGCAAATTTGTGTTTTTCAAAATTGGAAAGTTTTGAATGCTAAGTGAATTTAATTATTTTTAAAATATAAATCGTGTAGTTGTAGGTTCACCGGTGCACGTATTCCGTTCCAGAGACTTTGGGGGTACTGTACATATTAATCTGTGCGATGTTCACGTCTTTTAAAATTTGGTCTCGACAGACATAAGTTAATTCGAGATGGCGATGCGTAAAATACGGACCCCATTGGTGCTTTCAATATGGAACCCAACTTCTCCGAACTCTCTATTTGCGAGCAGACATTCGTCCGAAGCAATTCGTGAAAAAGACACTAGGTAGAAAGCCAATTTTTCCCGAAAATATCGAAAAAGAGCTGATGGAATATATATTGTTAGTGGAGATCATATTTTTCTATTATGAATGCATTTTGTCCATAAAATACATTGGAGTAAATAATTTTATAATTATTTAACATTCTTTGTACTTTCTTATTTGTTTTTGGATACATTAAAGCATTTTTTGAAAAGATACAGTACGGTTCCATATTACCACCCGATTTTCCCTAAGCCTATTTTCTGACCTTGTGTACAGAAGCTTTCAAAAACCATACTTATAGTTACACTAGCGAAAAATCCAATTAGGAACATTTAGTTTACTAGTTACCAGTACTTTTCGCACAAAAAATGTGAGTGTAGTTATGATACCTTGTTTACAATTCACTAAAATGTAATTGGGGTTCCATAATACCACCTTCTCCTCTATATATATAATTTGGTAATAGGAGCGAATTGGGGGTGGGGCAATTCTTATTGGTCAATTAATTATTAAATTGACCAATAAAAATTAACATAAAAATCAATATAAAAATATAAATAATTATAAAATAAACATATGATTAAAAATTAAGCGAAGGGCTTAAATTAATTATTGTAAAATTAATTTTAAAAATATAGATAAAATACATATATCAAAAAAAGCTTTAAGAGATTATTAATATACTTTGAAATATTTATTTAAAATTTAATTCTAAGTAAAAAAAACAATGCAATCAATGTGTTCATCTCGCATCTGCCCTTAATTTTTGAGAGGCAGATTGCTTATTTCACACAGCGAATTGCATTTATTCTGTTCAGCTATTGTTTATGATTTAAAAAATAAACTAGGTCATCATTTCTAAATTTATACCTGTAATTATATTTTTTTATTTTTTAATTAATTTAAGCTCCCATTGCTTAACTTTTACTCATACGTTAATTTTATAATTATTTATATTTTTATATTAATTTTTATGTTAATTCTGATCAGTCAATTTATTAATTAATTGACCAATCAGAATTGCCCCCACCCCCAATTCGAGCTAACTACCTATAATTTACTGTATATAATAATCAAATGTATTTTCACACTGAAAACAAAACTATGATTTTTATTAATCATTTTTTTTATGCTAATGAATATGAATAACAAATTAATCATTTCTAAGTATCAAAATATTTTTAACTCGAACATAACCTCATTTTATTTTAAATTTTCACTGCCCTATCAGACTCAAAATACCATTTAAAAAAACAATTTACGTTACTTACCGCGCCAAACAAACTTCCAAACTATTAATTCTTCTTTTACTGTTTATGCTGCTTGTACTCCTAGTTTCTTCCAAACACTTTCAAACTATTATTTAACTTTTAAAATATAAATTAATTCAACTTGACAGTTGAACAAGACAGACATTGGCCGCCCAAAACGATGCGTTGCCAACTTAACTCCGTACGAAGATTGTGGGCGGTTCCGATATTCACAAAGTGAATGTTATAGAATAATTAACAAACCAATTTTAAGTTTTAATATTAAAGAATAATAAGTGAAACGTTGATATTCCCGGTGAAATTACTAGTAAAACTGGAGACTGGATAAATGTGGCCGAAACTGGAGTCTCCAGGCGAAAATGACACGGTTGGTAACCCTATGTATACGAGCGTTGTATCAGAGTTCCATCTCTCGGTTCGACATTGTCTGATCGTTTAACACGTGCAAGAGTCATCATGGGACCCTTTGCGTTGCGTTGTTTTGATAACTTCATTTTTCTCTCTCTCTTACATAACCTTGCGTTACATTTTAAACATTGAAAATTGCGCAATTAACACGATTTCGGACCTCGTCTGGAACCTCACATTAGTTCCAAATAATCACGACTTCAAATTATAGATTTTGAATTATCTGAGATTTACATATTTCTGCACAACATGCCAAATTCCATATAACTGATGTAATGTATGCAGAAAGTTATTTTACTTAATTAATACTAATTACTGCAATAATAATATAAATAAACTGAAGTTGAACAGCGTGTGTCGGGTAAGAATCTCATGTATTGTCAGATGGGTTTTATAACAAGCAAAGCAGAATTTCTTAAAATGTAGCCCAAATTATATTTAAAGTAGACAAAAAAGTAGTAAGTTGCCCAAATCTAACAACCTAGTGCCCTAAAAATATCTCAATCTACTACTCGTAGTCCTATCTTGCAATCTCAAAACCCAGCCGTATTTTATGAGATAAAAGAAGAAAAAAATATTTAATGGGTACGATGACACCCTAAAACATGTCTTGGTCTGTTGTTCTCTTATAGTATGGAGTAGTTAGTATTTGATCTAAATCACAGGTTTTCAAACTTATTTCAACCACCGCCCACTTTGAGATTTAAAAAAAATTAGTGCTCCCATATTTTTTAACTTGCGCAACAGATGGTAATGTAAAAAGGTATCTTAAAAACAGTTATTGCAAATATAATGTTTAAACATGCATTATTATGGATATGGGTCACACCCTATCTATCCTGATAGGGTGTGACCCATATCCTATATCTGAGAAAAAACAATGTTTCAATGAGAAGAAATAAAACTCATATTTAATCACTGAACCTACTGCCCTTCTGAAAGCCTCCAGCGCCCACAAGAGGGCGTTATCGCCCACTTTCAGAGTGGATGATCTAAACCAGTGATTCTCAAACTTTTTCGATCCACCACCCCCTTTGTTCCATAAAGTTATACCCAACGCCCCCTAATCCATTTTCTCTTGTGTGAGAAAAGGATTGGAAATATTCTTAGGAAAACTTTTCTATGAATCTCACACTTTGTGCCCTTACTGTACATTGTTCTCATCATCTGGAAACCATTAAACGCAATGTTTCCTCTTATCAGCCCCAATTTTGCATTTGGTCACCGTTCAATACCCTGCCTCTATCATAGATCTATTCATCGCGCCAGAAGGGGGCGTTATTGCTTACTTTGAGAAACGCTGAGCTAAAATAAAAGTCAATGTGTTAGAAATATTCAAGTTGTGACCTTCAATAAAAAATAAAAAATATATGAAATGTCAACATTTTATATATATTCCGTCGAATTTTTATATATAGAATTTGTCTGCCGTCGCCCCTCTATATTTCCTTAACGCCCCCAATTCTCTTTGAGCCTTCTACTGCCCCCTGAAAGCCTCCAGCGCCCACAAGGGGGCGTTATCGCCCACTTTGAGAAACGCTGATCTAAACGAATAAGTTAACATAGTTCAGTCAGAATTGTCACTTTAAATTTTGTATTAACCCAATTCCTTAATTAACATGTAAATCTCTATATCCCCAGCTGGACAAGAGTACAATTACAAACTAATGGAATTTCAAACTATCCAAGTTCAAAGTAACGAGAATTTTCTGTACTCTTCTTACCTTGTACGTTTGCTACGCAATCAAGCCACTTTTTTACCAAGTAGGACTGCTGCTTGCTCAACTGCCCCATTCATATAAAAAAACAGCAGAATTTAGTGTATCCTCCTTGAAGACCTGTTAACATCGCAACAACTTTGAGGTCATCACACACATTCCACTTATATTCGTTATATGTTATCTTACCCAGCATTACCTTCGTGCTGTAAGTTTCTTTCGTGTAAACAGCTCGAACGACTGGAATGGACAGATGTTTTTTGCCATTGTGCAACAAAACTTGTTTAAGACTGAACTTTGATGAGTCAGTAAAGTCTCCACTCCGTAGGATCCTGTGGCAACTGAAGCTCCTTCAACAAATGTAGTATATCATCATAAAAAATTAGATTGCCCTTCACTTTAAAAATATTTCAATTTCCCGATTTCCTTTTT